GCGCCTCGGTTTAGATTGTGCATCTAGCCCATTCTTCTTTTTTTTGGTTGAACGTCCGTGCGTGCTGCGCTCTATGACTTTTTTTCTATTAGAATAGATGGATCTGGATTATCTCCTATTGTTTCTTACAAATATAAAAAAATCAAATAAATAGAAGTAATAAATATAGTATTACAGGAGTCTTTGAAATTATGGTATTACATAATTTTGAAAGGCTTTCTACGTGCGAGGCGGAGAGGCATGAAAGGCTTCTACGGTTGGGACTCGGGAAGAGGAGACGGGAGGAGTACCAAGAGAAAGAAATGACGGACAATCCAACGGACAATAATACTCCAAATCAATCCAAGGGTTGAGAATAATCGGACCACCATCGTGCCGGCCCATTAACCTGCATTTCTTTAGTTCCAGTGGATGGTTAACTACTAGGTTTTGTGGCCTTTCTTAGTCAGGACTTCTCTTCATGTTTTGTTTCCCAAAGTTTGGATGTGAGCTTTCTCAACCTTGAAAGTGGTGTGCTGTGAACTTTGTAACAATGAGCCTGATTCTACCTCGGTAGATGAAGCCGGATATAAACTATCCTTTATCTAAAAAAACCGTGCCGTCACTACGAGCCAAACCTTCGGTCCAGGCACGGCCCTAAATCGTGCCCGTGTTGGCGCTGGCACTATGGACATCGTGTCGTGCCGTGCTAGTGTTGTGCTTTTTCGGGCTGAGCCCGTGCCGGCCCATCGTGCCTGGCCCATTTGGCCATCTATAGGAGCGTGGTCGGAGCAGTCAGAGGACAGCGACCGCAGATGGTGGTTAGGGAACGCGTCTAGCCACTGCATGGTCGCGAACGCGCGATCAATGCGTTCCAAGGTCGGGCGACGTCGCTCGTTACTCCAAAGTGTATAGCCTACCATGTAGGTATAGTTCGTCGACGGCCATGTGGTCCAGGGCGCGGCGGAAACGACGCATCGATCTGAGGTTCAAGCGATCATTGTTTTTGTCTGCTGCCTGATAAATCAGGTTGAAATCGCCGCAGATCATCAACCGGGCCATAATACCGTAGACAGCGACCACGGCGGTATCGATGACGAGGTCTGCTGCAAACGTACCGTCACAGAGAAACGGCGGCAATCATGGCCAGAAGACGACCATACATCACGACGCCAAGCGACTATGATACCTCCGGAGGCACCAGCAGCAGCAAGCAAACATAGTCAAATGTTGTACCCATTAGATCAGAGACCATGAGTGGTCGCAGTACATCAATTTTTGTCTCAACAAGACAAACGATAGACAAGCGTTCTTGGACAAAGAACTGGCGCACAACATCACGACGGGCCTGCGAATTCAGGCCGCGAACATTCCAAATAAAAAGACTCTGACCTAACATGGGTAACAGGTTGGAGACAGCTTAGGCGGCGCGAACGGTCCGAGAGACCCGCTGCTTCCTGCCTGGGAAAAGCACTTGCATTGCGGCATTGCCTCCCGCGTTGAAGGTGAAAGGGGCAGCTTGAAGGCTGTCTGGAACTCTTCGAAGAATGCTTCATCAGGAAGTTCTGTCTCGACCTCCACACCAAGACGCTTCATCATGACTTTCCTCGCTTGTGCCTCCGGCCGTGCTGCACTGTATTTGCTCTTAGCCGCCAAGCGTGCACTCCTCTTCGGGACCAGCTCGTCATCCTCCAGTACCCGTGCCTTCTCGGCCCTAGTCATCCTCGGCCTTGGTGTCGACAGTAGCACCGGCTGCGGAAGAGGCAGCCTGAAAGTGGAGATGAACTCCTCGACCAGCATCGTCGCTACTTGCAGCACCGCCTCATGCATCCGTCGCGACGTCGTCGATGACCACGCGCGGAGAAGAGTCTATGAACATCTCCGACCCATCAAAACGAGGAGACCTGGGCGACTGGATTAGAGGGCCGGACTGCTGTGGTTGTGAGTACCCCGATTGCAGCTGGGCCAGTCCTGAAGAAAATGGGCCAGATCCACCATCTTCAGGTCCAGACAAACAAATGTCCACAGCCTCCCCAGCATCCCTGCATAACCCTTCACCCGATACCTCCTCATAGTACGACCCAAAGAGGCAGTCAGGCCTATCAGCAAGCCCAACAGAAAAGCAGGTGAGCCAGCCCGCAAGCAACCCAAACCCCTCCTCTAGGGCAGCGCCCACGACGCCCCGATGACGACTGTGAGACTGCAGGGCGCCGCGCGGGCAAAGGTCGATGGAGTGGGCACACCTGCTGTAGGAACGGGCACCTTTCCGCAGCGTGCACAGTGCCACCTCAGAGAGCATCGGGTCCAACGCCAAGTCAAACCATTGAGCCAGGGCATCGTCGACACACGTTGCCTGCACCGCGTGCGGCGCGCTGACGCCTACGCGACAGGGTATGGCGCCACGTGGCTCCGGAAAGAGGCACGTCACATCACCGACGACAATGGCCCCCCTCAATTCCCGCGCCCGAAAAGACGGGCCGGAGCCATGACCCAGCCGGGGGTCGTTGTTGCCGCCGAACCGCGTCGTCCTCGGGCACGACCCGCCACTGCCGCCGCCGCCGAAGCCAGGGTGATAACCATTGTAATTGCTATCCCCGCTATCACTGTCCTCGCTACCGAAGTCCATGCCATCGTCCGACGACGGCGGTGGTGTATGCCAGTCTTGGTACTCAATCAGCCGAAGACGAACGAGGTATCGGAGTGCGGGCACTTCATCATGGATGATTTCGTGCGGACGCAGGAAGAGCGGTGGCCCGCCATCATGTTCCTCCTCCTGCTCAGGCACAGCCATAATCTTCTCATCAGGGGCGAGATCAGGGTGCGCACACCATGCCGCGACGAAGAGCTCGCATTCATCGTCAGGGTCCGCAATGGCTTCCGGATTGGCGATGTCGACATTGATGCAAGAGGACCCGAGGATGACCTGCGCGGTCTCCTTGGAACGAGCGTGCGACGGGATGCCTTTGAGGCCTACGAGCACCCTGAATCGGAACGCTCCCGCCGAGCCCATAATCAGTCGACTCCACCTCCGCCAACGAAGGATGAAGGGAGCACCCTCCGGCGCCGGGGAACGAAGGACCATCTCTAGGTCCTCGCGACGACTGAAGCGAACGATGAAGTCGTCCGGCCTCGTACGGCGCACGGTGACCCGGTCATCCATCACGCCATAACGCTCAACGAGATGAGCCAGAACCATGGCCGGAGTGACCGCCGGTCTGGTGGCAACCACAAGTGCCAGCAGAGCCAGGGACAACGCATCCTCCGCCGCTTGGATGGCCGGAGTCCGGGGGACGACGACAAGCTCGAGCAGAGGCCTCCTTGCCCGCGACCTCGGCGAAGCCGGCGGTGACTGGCCTCGCCGCACCGGGGAGCGCGGCGCTCGACGGGGCCAGTCCGACTCGAGGGAGTCTGGGCGATCCGGAGCACCACCTGCAGCAGTGTCGTGGCCGCCGATATTGTCCATGACTGGTGCCCCCTGGTCCTGCGCACCACGAGCTCCGCCCACTGGCTCAACGACCTCCGGCTCCGCCATCTGGGGTTCAGGTGTGGTGGGCTGGCACACAGGAGGAACCAAAGGCTCCCTCCCAGTGGATGCCGAACGCGCCGAAGTTGTATCCGCTGGCGACTATGAGAGGACTGACGACGTCGAGCACCCCCGCGAGTACCGGACGTACGCGACGGAGAGCGTCCGTGCTTGCCATCCCAGCGACCAGGGGCGGGAGGGAGAGGGCAGTCCCTCGCTTGGTGCCCAACATCCCTACAGTTGTAGCACTTCGCCGGAAAAGTGCAATCGGCATGCACGTGATCACCGGCAAGGCAGTTGAAGCACTTCCCGACGAGGTTCGACGGGACCGGCCGATGTGGTGACGGGGCGTGACGCCAACGCCTCCTGCTCTGAACCTGCCGGAAGCCCTCGGCGTCCGGCGCGAAGGACATACGCGGAGGGTGCACGACGATGGACGCGAGCCGAGGGGGACTGAGGTGCCTGAGACCCAGCATCCCTCCGCGCGTCGGCCATGAAGCCCCCGTGATACGGTCGGCGCCGACGCTGCGGCCGAGGCCGACGCACCGCCTTGCCATGACCCGACGAAGGAGGCGCGTCGGAGTCGTTGAGAGAGGCCTCCGAGTAGGTGAAGTGGAGCCTCCCCCCCTGAACTGCCCAGAGACGCCATGAATGGCTCTGCCTGAGGGTCGAGCGAGCTCGCGCGAAGGACAAACTCGGCGTGCACAGCCGCGCGGCCAGAGGCGGCAGCTCCAGGAACACAGATCTACCATTGCTCCGAGCGGCCTCATCCTCTTCGACCTCGTCCACCCAAGAACGACGAGAGCAAGAGCCGGGCTCCATGGCTGAGTTGGGCGGCGCGACCACGCGGTCAATGGCAGGGTTCAAAATTTCGGCGAAATTTCGGCGGTGGTGGCCGAAAGAGAACTCCGAAATTTTTTAATACACTAATACATGTGCTATATAACTCTAATCTTATATTTTTCTATTGTTTATATTGCATATTCTTCTATTTAATAGATATGTAGTCATAAATCATATTAATATTTATTTAGATCCAAATTTTTTTAGAAAAAACATACTTCATGTGCTAATCTCTAAAAAAAAATTCGGCGAAATTTCGGCTGAATTTCACGAAATTCGGTAATTTCGGTGGTGGCCGAAATTTTGGCGAAACCGAAATTAAAAACCTTGGTCAACGGCGATGTGCTTGGTGGACGCCGGGGCCGGAGTGGCCACCGGCGGTGGAGCGGGGGCGAGCAGACTCTCTCTCGCACTGCACAAGTGTCTTCTTTGAAACGAATTGTTCAGCCAATGTCAAATCCATGTAAAAACTGAATCATGAAACTCAAGATGAATGGGCACCAAAATGATCTGCATTATTATTCTCTCTTAGAAGAGCTTCTCGTCATCAGTCTTAGCTCGTATAAAGTTTATCCTCATGAACTAGACTGAAATTATTTCAAAACATCGGCATGACAGAGTGATTTCTCATCAGAGATTATTACAAAAGACTACCTTATGCATCCTGGTTCATCTTCTTGGGTGCAACAGCTTCAATGGCAGTGCCTAGAGGCCATGCTGCCTCAACGTAGAACTCCCCATACTTCACTCTAGACACCAAAGTAATCTCCCTCGTTGGAGCCAAACCTGTGTAAACCACATTTAATTAATTGGTTTGTTCCAAACACCTGAGTGTCAATTGTTGAGCGAATATCGACCATCCGACATGGAGATTTTCCTGATATCTAAACATGTATTTTATCTGCACTTACCAAAGCCATCTACAAGCAATGTGTACTGGTAGATGAGATCCATGCATATGTATGGCACATCATAGAGATCAGGGTACCCTGCTTTGGCTTCATCGGCGCTCAGCAAACAAACTTTCTCTGCAGCAGCTTTGAATGCCGATGGGGTGGACTTCACGCTGGGTGCCTCACTGTCAATGAAGCCAACCTGCAAAGTTATTCATGTGAATCATTGGATGATGCTCAAACTCCATTTTCAACATCTCTGGTAGTTGTGAAGGTTTATATATACATGATCAGGAGTTGCTAACTTATATTATATATACCTGTGAAACCTTGTCAAAGAAGAAAGATGCAACGTAGAGATCGTCCTGGCCAGCTCCACCGCCTCCGTTCCAGACGCCGTTAAAGGTGCAGTTCTTTGCTTTACATGGTGCACTCAGGTTTAGTGCCTTTACTATCTCTTCTCTGCACTTATCATACACTGCGCCTTCAGGTGACGCCGTTGCGTCATAGTCCTTCCCATTGTAGCTGTATGTACCTTAATGAATGATATGATAGCAAAGTCTGCTAGTTACTGGAAAAACGATGAATTGATAAACAAGGAGGCTGATTATGCATGTATGCCAGCATACCACTGAACCCGCGCAATACGCATTGGCTAAATGGCCCATTCTTTGCCTTCAGGATCTCTACTCGAACAGCAGACATGCCATAGTACAAGTAACTGCAGAGGTAAACAAGGAAGATTACTTGCATTGGTCACAAACCAGAGCATACATGATTAGTTCATGATTTGATACAGAAAACCTTCATCATGGTTTAATAATTCTTTTACTGAATCGTCATGGTTTGATGATTATTACTGTAATGTAAAAAACTGCAAACACTAAACGATGTAGTAAGTGCCATCATAGTTTACTCTTTCCAACAAAATGTAAAAGTTATTGAAAGGCTAGGTAAGTTAAAGTTTAAACATAATGTTTGCTAAACCTGTGAACATAGAGGTTATAATCTTTTCTCTTGAGGTACTCCTTTGTAATATATGGATCCTTCCCATCAGGCACAGCTGGAGCATTTGCAGCAGCACTCGTGGAAATGGCATATGCCATTTGTACTGATCCACCTCCCAAATCGATCACACCAACCGTCTTCGAGTAGTCCCCTCCCAATTTACCTAGCAGATAATTCAGAGCAACCTACAACACATACATGTGCCACATGCATCATACTTTACAAGCTGAGTACACGAGATATATTACACATTTTTTCTGACAAAAAAAAACAAGGAAATTATTAGATAACACAGAAGTTAGGAATAATGTACATACCCATAGGTAAGATCCTTCTTGAGTTCCCTCGAGAACAGTGATCCATTTGGGATTGTACTGGAATTTGCTCTTGGTGTGGACAAGATCTCGGACCTGCATTTAGAAAAAAAATAAGAAAAAAGAAAACTTTGTATATATCTAGAATACACACAAGGCATAATTTGGTTAGTAAGATGGCAAGCTACCGCTTCAAGAATCTCCTCTGCCTTCTCGTCTCCAATTAGTCTTAGACCAGCTGTTGCCTGCAATTTTTTATGGAAACACTTCAGTTCGAGATCGAACAGGACTTTCAATAGAGTGACAGGTCTATTGAAACATGGACAGCTACAAATGTATATGGAGGAGGTCCTGAGATTTTCTTTTCACTAGATGATGAACTTAGATGAAGAAAACAATTAATTACCCCAAGTTTGAGAGGAGTATTTTTCTGAAGCCTGGGAGGGACAAACTCCTTAGCCTGCTCAAGAAGGGGGAGTATAGAGTTGGCAGCCTCTTGAGGTTTCCCCGCAAATGAGCTCAGCCCGGGCTTTATCTGCATCATCAACAAGTCACAAACATGGACACGTAGTAATTCATCAATAATCCACTCAGTAACTTTGCTTTGCATATAAAGAGGGCAAATGAAAGAAATGTTGTTTCAAATTTATTTTCCGTCTTTCTTATTCTTATCTGTTATTGCTAAAGTGTACACTAGCATCCAAATTTGAGGACCATGTGAGGACCCCAACAGGTCACACGCTGTGTGAGCCCTTGTATATCGGCGTGGAGCATAATATGGATAAGGTCCACCAGCAACCGGTTACAAGCTTTTACTGATGTGTTGGCTCGTTTTCGGGATGCCATATACGGTCATCATGCACTGTTCGTGTTCTTCCGTTGCATTATTGTCACTTGTTTTTTTAAAGTCAAAAATTGTTCACTCTTGTTGGGTCTATATTTCCTTTCTGAAGCTGAAGTGAAGTGGTAAGTGGTAACTACAACTGAGCACCTACATACCTTGGAGAAGAACTCGATGTCGTCGCCGATGGGGACGAGGTCGAGCTCCTTGTCGAACTTGAAGACGTGAACACGGCTGCCCGTGCTCCCGGCGTCGAAGATGACGGCGTACCTCCCCGCTGGTTGTCCCCTCGAGACCGCCTCCTCCACCGCCGGCGACTGCTTGGCCGCGGCGATGCTGCCCTTTCGCCCAAGAACGACGCTGCTGCTTCCTGAGGCAGCGGAGACAACGAGGTGGAAGACGAGAAGAAAGGCAGCAACGCTGCCGGCGAGGCGAGCCATTGCCACTGCCACTGCAATGGCCAGTGGATGGAGCAACAGCAGGGAGGAGCCGGCCGCTCACTTGTCAGTTGTCACTTCACTGTTCACTCGTGTCTGGACTCTGAGCTGCAGGACGTATGGCTTTATTCTTGATGGGGAGGAGATTTGCAGGCTAGTACCTCAAGTATCATACATTTTCTTTTTCCGCGGAGCAAACTCTTCTCATGAGCTGGCGTAGTACCTACTGTGACAAATTTCACAAGGGATGGGGTGCTAATCGAATAACTAGTGCTGCCAGTGGAGTCTTGCAGAGCTGTCGGTTGTTGGTCCAATTCTTGCACGTGCACACATATATATATCTTTAGCCCGTGTTTAGTGATTGAATTTTGGATTTTGGGTTATGATGGCATTTTTGTTTTTATTTGATAATTACTGTTTAAATATGAACTAATTAGACTTAAAACGTTTGTCTCGTGATTTCTAACTAAATTATGCAATTAATTTTTTTTCATCTACATTTAATATTCCATACATGTATCGTAAATATTCGATGTGATGACTACTGTAGCATTTTTTAGGAATTTGAATTGGAATTCAACACGGGCTTATTCGAACAATACGTGCACGTATATAAACCACAAGTCTTGTCTGGGGAGGTTCGCATTATATAAGTTTCACTCACGTATATAAAAAGTGTTTGGCGCATCTTCGCTTTACCGGTTAAGCTATTTTTTCTTAACTCTACGAGCAGCTCGAGGATGGAAGAAGAGCCGAAGCAGCCGTTTGGCTTCTTGAAACTTAGCTGAAAAACGTGGTTGTGGCTGAAATATTGTGAAAGAAAAATACTGTTTCGGTTAAAAAAATAAGCCGAACAAGTCAGATATAGAGTAAGCCGAACAGGACCTACATGTGAAACTCTTTGAAACATGCTCGTATAGAATCCCACACGGTGCCCCACCAAAGCGAGGTGGAGCTAGGTAAAGCTATTATTTTAGCTCTACCCCATATCTATTCTTTGTGAGAGCAGGTTTTAAGGGACTCTTTAAATGAAATTGTTTTTGTTTTATCCTATTTAGCATAAAATGACTCCAAACAGTTTTAGGAGGTAATGGTGAAGCTATGTCAAACAGGTCCAATTACGGTACGGTGGAGATAACTCCCGATTTGGTGGACACTTGACACGCAGTCCAACTTCCAGTCACAAAGGCATCAACCTTGCAATCGCAACACCACGTCATTTCTAGTTACCAACTGTGCGCTGCTCGATTAACCACGATATAAAGGCTAATCTCTATCCGTGAATCAAGAACACAAGTAAGAAGTTTTGACTTGTCGTTTCTTCAATGGGTCATGATTGATGCCCATAAGGCCATGACGGTCATCGTAGACAAATAAAAGGTTTGGACAAGAGAGTAAATGTAAATGAGAACATACCAAACAATAGCCTTTTGGATTTCACCGAACTGAAGCCAACAAAAAAAAAACTCGATGACACAAGACACCATATATATATATATATATATATATATATATATATATATATATATATATATATATATATATATATATATATATATATATATATGTGTGTGTGTGTGTGTGCGCGCGCGCGTGAAAAGTGACTGTCGGTGCGGGACCCATAGGATACCCCGCATGGAGGAGAGAAGATCTAGTCTAACTAGAATTCTTCCCATGTAATCTTAGTAGTAGTATTATCCTGTAATCCTACTAAGAACTGTCATTGTAAACCGACTATGATTCTGACCTCCTGACTATATAAAGGAGGGTTGGGTTCCTAGAGACAGGAGATCACGATTTTCTACAACACAATTCATACAACGCAAGGGCTAACGCCGGCTGGATGTAGGGCTATTACTCGATCAACGATTGAGGGCCCGAACCAGGATAAATCGACCGTCTCTTGCGTTCACCGTCGAGTTCCGCATACGCTGAAGTCCGAACAATACTGCCCTGGGGACCCCCGTGGCAGGCTATCGGTGGTAAAATATCGACAGCTGGCGCGCCAGGTAGGGGCTTTCGGCGAATTTGCATCCGAGAGCTCGATGAACCTCAACAACATGATCTTCTCGACGGGATCAACTTTCATCTTCAGCTCATGGATCTGCGAGGCAGACGACAATGGCAAGCTCCAAAGCCGTCTCCTCGAAGATTCGAAACACCATGAAGACTATTCTATTCCGGCGACTACGACGGACCAAATCTCAGGAAGATTCGCGCAACTCATGGTGTCCGATTCAACTCAGATTTCGCGATTTTGCGCATTCGACTCGAATTCAAGCTCCGCTTCCGAGACAGAGTCTTATCCGAGTTCTTTCGAAAAACCGAGTTCTTTTCCGATGGGACTCCAAAACGCGGCCTCGGCATATCAAGAAAACAACTTGGAGAACACTCAGAATCTTTTCAAGAAGTCAGGTCTTTTTTCGTTCGGACTCCACAACATGGCAAAGGCTTATCAGGCATGGCTCGAAGGATCCCTCGATCCGGTGCTTAGAATGCCACTAAAAGGAGCTCAGGAAAGTCTCGTACTGACTATAACATCTCAAGATTGCATCGTCCACTGGCTAGGCTCTGTTCCTGACGATAGCAGTACCCGACTGGATGACACGACGACGACAGCTATTCTACCTTACCAAGAAGGAGACTCAATCTGCGACCTCGAGGCCTCTACTAAAGTTATCAGCAACTCCGACAGTATGGAAACTAACGCCAATAACAGAACAGTTCACGCACGGGAAGTACTCATGGTTCGCCGTCCTCGGTCACCATTGGTCCCCCAAAAGCGCCCGATGTCAGGTCATCAGATGAATCAGAATCCAACATATCACCCTTTGCCCAGGGCTACGATAGTGAAACCGAGAATCAGAAACAAGCTAGAGAAAGAAAAAATAAGTTGAAGCAAGGACGCCAACACCGTGCTAGGCAGCGCAGGGAAGCCTGGATCAGATGAGTCAGAGTTGGCCGAATACGACAGAAGAAAATCACAATGAGAAGTCGAAGAAAGACGCACGGCAAGTACGCCATACGATAAGATCCGGGAAGCATTAGAAGAACTCAGAGCAACCGCACATCCCGGTGAAAAATATGAACAGCTCTGGGACTTGCTCTGGTCAACAGCCCCGAGGACGCATGAAGAAAGAACCCAATCAAGACTACCCACCAGATCAACGACCCATAGGCAAGAAGATTAAAATCAAAGGAAGTCCGCTTTCGAGAGACTTGGACCAAGTGGAAGTCATAACAGAGAAAGTAGGAGGGATCATAGTCAAGGCCACCGAGTTGAACAACCAAGAAAGACCAGGAGTAGGGCGCCAGCCCAGATGGCCTCGCAGAATTACTCTCATCAAAATGACAGTTGGCCAGAAGGAGGTGCCGAATTGGAATTCAAAGAAGCCAGAACGCATGATAGATTCCCCTGTTTTGCAAATAGACTTGCGTCAATACGACTACCTCACAAGTTCAAGCCATCCAACCACTCTAAGTATGATGGCAAAACTGAACCAAGGCAGTGGCTCAGGATATATTCACAATCAATTGAACTAGCCGGAGGAGACGATGATATCAAGATCCTGTTCTTTCCCATGGCCCTGGAAACCATGCCTCTCCAATGGTTCGACAAATTAAATCCAGGATCAATCAGAAATTGGGAGGACTTGCAAAGAGCTTTTTGTGAAAATTTCACAGGGATCATTGCACACCCGATCACTCACGCAGAATTAAAAGGACTCAAGCAGAAAGGAAGTGAGAGTCTCAGAGATTACTATCGACGATTCGGCGAACTACGGGCTCAAGTGCATGACATCACCGAACGAGAAGTA